TTTCTTTGGTCAGGTGTGGGTGGGGGTATTTATACCTTTTGCCTTTTAATCTTGACCGTCCATCAAGATTGAATCTGGGCCGTTCGATCGCGATTTCATTGGGATTAAATCTGGGCCGTTCATCGCGATGCAATTTGTGCCGTCCGTGCCTGATTGAATCTGGGCCGTCAGTGCGCGTGAATCTGGGCCGTCCGTGTGCGTGAATCTGGGTCGTCCGTGCACACATTTGATCTGGGCCGTCCATGCGCGCAGGAACGGATCTGGGCCGTCCGATCGCGCGCACGCGGATCGCCCCCGTGGCCCGTCCCCTGGTCAGCGTGTCCTTGTCACGCGGCGCGTCCTGGTTGGCCGGGGCTGCTGACCGGGCCGATGACGTGGCTGCTGACGTGGTGCAACTTTTTTAAATTACGTTTTGACCCCTGGTTTCTGATTTTCTTTTCAAAAATACCCTCATAATCCAAATTTTCACCCTTTTTTCCAAAATCAATTTCAATTAAATCCAAATAATATTTTTACCCAATTTTATCATTATAATTATTTTTATTTTCATTGAATTAAATTAAATTAAATTAAATTAAATTAAATAAATAAAATATTTATTTTCATCTGGGTGTTACAACTCTCCCCCGCTTAAAGAAATTTGGTCCCCCAAGTTTTCCTCTTACTCTTGGTCGAACAAATGGGGATACTGGGCTCTAAATTCTGATTCTAGCTCCCAAGTAGCCTCCCTGGGCGTGTGGTTCTGCCACACGACCTTTACAAATGATATTTCTCGGTTGCGGAGTATTCTGCTCTTTCGGTCCGTGATACCGACCGACACTTCTTCATAAGACAAGTCCTCTTGGAGTGGAAGCGGTTCATGAGCCAAGACATGAGAAGGGTCCGGATTGTACTTACGTAGCATGGATACGTGGAACACGTTGTGGACTCTGGAGAGCTCTGGAGGCAGTGCTAGTCTGTAGGCAGCAGTACCAATCCTGTCTAAGATTTCGAAGGGTCCAATATACCGAGGGTTTAATTTTTCCCTCTTGCTGAACCTACTAATTCCCTTGAAGGGAGTGACCTTAAGAAACACCCGGTCGCCTTTCTCAAACGCTAGGTCTCTCCTCCAGGTATCTGCATAACTCTTCTGCCTACTCTGAGCTGTCTGAATGTTATTCTTGATTTTAACTATCTTGGACATGGTTTCTTCTACCAACTCCGGGCCGAACAATCTTCTATCGCTCACTTCCTCCCAGCAAATCGGTGATCTGCAAGGGCATCCATATAACGCCTCATATGGAGCTATGCCGATGCTTGCTTGGTAGCTGTTGTTGTAGGCAAACTCTATCAGAGGTAGATGGTCGTCCCAATGGCCTCCGGAGTCAAGGACACAAGCTCGGAGTATATCCTCAAGCGTACGAATTGTCCTCTCTGATTGTCCATCAGTCTGGGGATGAGATGCAGTACTAAGAGCAACTTTGTTCCCATAACTCACTAGAAGCTACTCCAAAACCGAGAAGTGAACCTGGGATCCCTGTCGGACACTACTGTCACTAGAACCCCATGCAATCTGACTATCTCCCGAATATACATCCTTGCCAACTTGTCCAATGAATCGGTCATCCTGATGGCTAGGAAGTGGGAAGACTTGGTAAGTCGGTCAACGATTACCCATATGACATCATGTCCTGAACGCGCCTTGGGTAGCCCCGATACGAAGTCCATATCAAATCAATACCAATAGAAACCTAGTTAAAGGACATCCACCTCAACAAGGCTTAAGACAAGGAGACTTTGTATCTTCATACCTTTTTATATTATATATAAATGTTGTATCTCACTTCTTTTTACATGTGGAGACCTAAAATAAAATTTATAACTTAATATATAGCACCATCTATCTTTTTTTTTTTTTTTACAAATGATTTGTTGTTATTTGGCTTAGTTATAACTACTAGATTTTCTTTAAATCTTGCACCTCTTTTGTTATCTCCTATTTTACCTATATATAAATGAAGTACAAAAGAGGTGCAAGATTTAAATAAAGTACAAAATTTTCATTTGTATCTTATCTAGATATAAATCCCTCTAGTGGCGCATGATGCATAAGGCTCTTACCTATCTTACCTAGATATAAATGAAGTACAAAATAGGTGCAAGATTTAAATAAAGTACAAAATTTTCATTTGTATCTTATCTAGATATAAATCCCTCTAGTGGCACATGATGCATAAGGCTCTTACCTATCTTACCTAGATATAAATGAAGTACAAAAGAGGTGCAAGATTTAAAGAAAATTTTGTAGGTTACTTGATGTTGTACTTCATTTGTATCTTACCTATATATAAATTCCTATGGTGGTGCATGATACATAAGTCTCTACCAATTATGTTTTCTTTTAATCCTAACATTTTTTTTTTGGATCCATGTAGGTTATGTGAACAATCAAAATAGATGATATTACCCATTTACTTCTAAAATGTCAACTAGATGTCTTTGCTATGTTTTCCTATGGACTCCCAAATATACCATCTTCAAATATCCACAATCAATGAATGGATTGCCACTTTACTTATAAATCAAACCCACACTACCATACCCTATGCTACTTAGGCCAAATAAATTTTTCATTATGCCTTAATCATGATATATTACCTTCACTATTAGAGAAACCAAATAAACATTCAAATCTCATCCTAAATCCTTTTGGATATATCCAAAACATAAATGCTACCCATCACTATTAAATAGACATACAAAATTCTCAATCAAATAACAACACAATATTAAACATAATGAATGAGCAACAAATGTAACAAGTGGTTACTTATGCATCCAAAAGCCAAGACGATTAGTTCATTTTATGCCTTTATTCTCTAAACCGAGACACGTTGTACCCTTCAACACATGCATTGCTAAACTCAACATCATCAAAGGCTTTTTTAGAGAATTTTAGTTGGTTAAAAGAACAAATAAAATGATTAGAGTTTCAACAAGTGAATATATATATGTAGATCATTTTATATATGATGAATTATCTTTAACTATGGGCTCCAAGTTTAAAACCAATCTAATATTTTATGTATAAGGTCAAGACCACTCTGCAGCCTAACTTGATTTTGCATGGTTTTCTATTGATCTTGGTAAACTTTTTATGGCCAGAATGTGTTAACTTGGACTAATACTTTGGATAAATGGAGTTATCATTAAATATCCTACTTTTTTGAATAGATTTAAGTTCATGTTAAAAAAACAAAAAAAAAATTCATTTACTTTTATAAAGGTTATTGTTCTTTAGTTTTTATCTTTGGAAATAATAATAAAATTAAAAACACATTTAATAATACAAATATAAAATAATTTTTCAAAATAAAAATGAAGACATTAAAGAGTCAAAGGCTTGAAAAAAAAATCTTTCCATGTTTCATCGTTAAAAAAACAGTTTGAAAAGAAGAAGCAACCCTAAAAATTTTGGGTCAGATTGGGTACCCGACCCGTTACCACATATAGTGTCAGAGGCGGCGCCACACCCTACAACGCTCTTTCTTATCGATGGGAGCTCTGCGACTTTTCCCCAGAGATTCGATATTAGCGTTAAATTGAAGGAGAAGGCGCAGCAGCATCTTCTTCTGGGGTCTAATCTTCTTTTTGCTCCTTTGACTTCCATTCCTTTTGCAGTGGCGACTAGGCTTTATCGCTCTCGTACTCTACCTCCATTTCTCTTCAACTTTTCTTTGTTTTCTTCCGCTTGTTTTTCTTCTTCGTCTCTCCGGACCATAGCCATGCCGGGTGCTGAGTCCCAGGAGATACAGTGGCCTGCGAAGAGAGTGAGGGATACCTTCATCAAGTTCTTTGAAGAGAAGAACCATGTTAACTGGAGATCTAGCCCCGTTGTTCCTCATAATGATCCTACTTTACTCTTTGCTAATGCCGGTATGGTTTTAGGTTTTTGTTCCTTCTAATATTCTCTTCAGTTGCATTCAAAATCATGGATTTGTAATCTGTTTTCTGGTGGATTTGATAATTTTGGATTCCTTAGTTCTTCAGAAAACATTTTCGGTTTTTCGTTTCCTGAACTTACATGCGTTTTATAAGTGAACTATCTAGAAACACACTATTCCTTTCATTTTCATGAGCAAATATATGCATTGACATGTTAACTCGGAAAATGAAAACTAAAAACTAAAAAATGCTTTATATATTAAACAAATATTTAAAGTATTTAATTAAATTAATATTTTGAATTTCAAAAACTAAATTTATATCTTCTCTGCAAAATAAAAATAAAAAAATTCAACAAATAAGCGCTAAATGAATTAGGAGCATGTTGGACAGTGTTGATTCTATATGGTGTTTATATTTTAATTATAACGAGTAAGATAATGAATCATCCAAATATTATTTTCTTTCTTATTCCATTATTGAAAATTTGAACCTGATGTTATTTTCTTTCTTCCATTGCTGTCAGTTTGAATGATGAAATTGCAGTTCAAGTCGATTAATATCTCAATATCTTGTCCCGCTATCTCAATTAACTAATTGGTCTTTTAACTTATGTCAGGAAGTTCAATGAGTAAAGTAAAATAAAAATGAACAAAGAATTGTCGCAATCAAACTTTAGTTGAAACTTAGGCCCTGTTTGATTCTTGAAGACAGTCAGTTTTCTGTTTTCATTTCCTTTGAAAATGAAAATTGAAGAGAAGATATGTTTGGTTGGTGAAACTAGGAAATTGTTTCCCGAAAAGAGAATGAAAATATTGGAAACTTGGAAGGAAAAAAGTTGAAAAATGAGAACTGTTTACTTTTTTATTTTGTAAAATTGAAAACTAGAAAAAGCTTTTTAAAAACAAACAATAGCCTTA